TCCCCTTGTTCAGGTCAGCTGTTTCTGTGGGTTAAACCAGCCCAGTCTTAACTCCTTTGTCCATCGGTTCTCTCTTTCTGACACTGAATTCCAAGAGTTCAGTTCAGTGTTTGTCTGTGGGTATCTGCCTCTGCTTCCATCAGTCACTGGATGACGGGATCTGTTTCCCAGACTCTCTGGCAGTGGGATTGTACGCTGGCACTCCCCTGATTCATGTCTAAAATCTATAAATGCTTCTCTTTAGGAATAATGCCAGCTAATTCTTGCTACCTGCCTCCTTGCTGACTCTGTCATCTACCTCCCTAACTTCAAATCCTTCTTCCCACAGAACTTCTGGGGTTTTCCCTGCTACTCGGGTGCCTGGCTGTTGTCCCAGTCTCACGAGAAAGATCTGCGCTCCCGTGGCCTTTGCTGTCAGACTCAGCCGTGCAGCTGGATCTCTCCCTTGTCTTTGTTGTGTGGAACTCACCCTCCATCCATCCAGTTTCCACAGGGAGCCTCCTTCCTCAGCGTCACCAGGAAGTCTCCTTACCTGGGTTTCCGTTTCTTACCCTATTACATCACATCAGTGACCTAGAATACCTTTTCTCTTTGCCAGTAAGCTTCTCAGGCAACCATCAATAAATACCCCTTTTACGATTTAAGTGAGCCTTTGGAATCTGTGAGTTTCATAGCCTCCTTGTGGTTGCTTTCATGGCGTGTGACACAGAATGACGTCTTCCACAAGGTTCGCCTTTTGAGGTAGATTTCCTCCAGGTTTGAGTGGGCTGCCTTGGTTCTTCAATGACTTCTTTCTTCCTGCTTACAATTCTGTCTTCCATTCTTGTTGCTGGTGTGGCTACTGCTGGAGCCCACTGGCCTCCCTCCTCCACTGATCCTTTCTTTCTGTACATACTCCCTGGGAGGCTGCTGCTAGTTTCTTAATTACAGCTAAAATTTGCACAGGGATGATTCTTGATCCTCCATCTCTCTCAACTAAGTCAGCCCTGAACCGTGGAATACTGTTTGCAAGGATGTCACAGTGCTGCACGTCTGTACTGTGTATTAGCCACCAAGGAAGCACTGTGGCTTTCCTTACCATTGGCTTCCTTGTATGTTTCCCAGGTCAGCCATATCACTGAAGCATAACTTGCACTCAACCAATAGTGACGTGTGATATCTAATTTAAAAATAAATAAATGAGTAATTGTTTAGTCCCATGTGCTGTTACGTTGTTCCAGGAAGACAACAAAGCAGCTGGTGATTCCTAAGTGAAAAACAGATACTGGATAGCAAGGCCAGAGTCTCTGGGGACATGTCATTCCTTCAGCTGGCCTCTCCTTCTCAGACGTGCTTTTCAAGAATGCCACAATCTCTCTTCTTGTTTCAAGCTTTGCGGGCATCTTTCTAATATGTAATTAGATCCTCTCCCCCACCTAAACAAAGAGGCAGATGCCTGTTATTGCGACTGGGATTGGCAATCTAGCTGGCAAATGACTTTCTTGTCAGTTCGCTTGGTGTGAGTCAGTCCCTCAGTGTTGGTGAACTCTAGATGAACTGCCGAGATCGAGTTTCTGGATCTGCACAAATGAAGACCAGACTCCGGACTGTGGCGACTGAAAATAAACCATGAACTCCTGAGGTGAGCCTGGTGAGGGAGGTCAGTAGACACTTCCTGTTCCTGTGCGTTCAGCTGGATACCCTTTATCTTACGCATCTCTGCCTGCACAGTGCAAAGCATGAAAATGTCGACTTCGTGCTTGCTATGACTTTAAGCATCCAGTGAAGTGAGCACAAGCGCCGATGTTACGTGCCCACGTGGCCCTACAATCCCAAGAGGATGTGGGGAGACCCAGAGAGCCTCCAAGTGTGAAAGGAGGCAGAAGAAATCTGAAGCAAGGACAGCACATCTGCACCCGCTTACAGACTGCCAAGTAAAGAACAGTGAGTGTGGTTTCATTGAGCCTCAGAGAAAGAGTGGCAGAAAGGCCCGAGGACGCTTTCCTGCTGGGTAAGTGTGAACTGCAGGGAAATCTCTGCACACGTTGTCTTATCCTTCCCACATGATATAGGGTGCTGTTACCAAGCCCTTGTTGTCGATACGGAATACACAGCCGAAAAAGTTTAAATGACCTGAAAATTTATGTTGTCAACCCTTGTACAGATCAGGTGCAATGACTTCTGTAGGTACCTCAAACTTGGCTCAAGACACCACAAGTTCTCAGCACAAAGGAGATTTATTAGCCCCAGAGGAACAAAGGGCAGGGAATAAGAGACAAAGATGGAGGATGAGGGAGAAGGGGGAGGGGACTAGTGGTGGGAGGGGGGTAATTTGTCCTGCAGGGGACAAGGGGCCCCCTGTGGATAAAGAGGAGAGAGGCACCACATATAGGAAGATGGTGGTTTATGAAGGAAAGAGGGGAAAGCCTGCATTGGGTAAGGTATTTAATTTTGATTGGGTATGGTAATTAGCTAAGCCAATTATGGCCTTTGGTTGCTGACCTTCACTGTCTTCATAGCAGGAATTTAGTAGTCAGTCTCAGGAGGAAGTGACCAAGTTAGGGAATAGACTGTATGGGCTAGCTTTAGGAATGTAGCCTAGGTCTTTTTTTCTTTATTGTTGTTTTTTCAAGGCAAAGGGTATGGGGGAGAAGGACAAGGTCGGCCAGAGTCGTGTTTGCCATGCTTGGGCTAGCAAGAGGTCCCTCAGCTTCAAGTACACATTTTTTTGGTAAATTATGACTGTAAAAAGATAACATTGGGGCTGGAGAGATGGCTCAGAGGTTAAGAGTCCTGACTGCTTTTCCAAAGGTCCTGAGTTCAATTCCCAGCAACCACATGGTGGCTCACAACCATCTGTACTGACACCTGCTGCCTTCTTCTGGTCAGCAGGCATACATGTAGGCAGAACACTGTATACATAATAAACAAATAAATCTTTTTTAAAAAAGATAACGTTAACAGCTTTTTAAAAGTGATTACACATGACAGAATCAAGCAAATACCTTTGCATTTACTTAAAAATAGTTTTGAAAAACAAATGTCTCATCCTGTTTCTATAGCTAGGCATGCCACCTTTTACTAAAACAATGGGTAATTTACAATTTTTGTAATGTCTACTACAACAACAACAAAAAAATGGGTAAAATAAAATCTCTAACAAAACCTAGGACACAACTACACACACACACACACACTGATATCATATCCATACTTATCAGTACTATTATCTATTCTATTTACTTTGTTGAAGCTCATCCCTCATAACCCTTAATCAGTGTGTTCTTTCCTCTCTCTGACTTTGAGTGGAAACTTTACTTCCCACCTGTAAACCAAAGTCACAGAATTTCCTGGATCATCTTCAGGTTCTCTGTCTTAGCCCAGCATGGAGGACTTGTCATCTGCACACTGGTCATTTCTAATCATCAAGCGATCAAAAGAAGAACTGAGGATTCTTTTCCCCCGCTCCTTATGAAAGACAGTCCATTCGCCTCCACGTCCCCATGCCATCCCCAGCTCTGTTCCTGGGTCACTGTGGTCTGGTCAGCTGCTCAAATGTACCCACAGCTGCTGGTGTGGACTGTCCATCAGTTCCAATAGCTATGCCGACTGCTCAGGGCAGACCCCAGGATCAGCCCAGAGCACTGCGACTTTGCAGGGTTAACAAGTATGGGGAAAACATTAACACAGATTTCAAGTGACATCTGCTGTGTCCACAGTGCTTGTGCTGTCAGATCTCTGGACCATAACAGATGAGCTCTGATCGCAGGGGCAGCTTTTACATTTGGAAATGGAAGTTCTGACCGATTTGGGGGCAGATTTCTAAATTTCCTGAAAAGAGTACTAAAATTATCTAATATATTAATAGGAGGAGAAGAAATAAAGTGCACTTTTACTTGCAGAAAACAAATGCTCCGTAACTCCAAACTGAAGGGGATTTAGAAAGCCAGTGTTATTAAAACTTTAGGACAAAGTCTTAAAATAGCAAGACAATTGCATGCATTATTCCTGAGTATGAATTAATTACACACACTCCAGTACACACTGTAGCACACATGCCCATTCACAACACTCCAGCATACACACTGTAGTACACATGTATCCCAATAATACTCCAGTGCACATATATACTCTAATACACAGAAACACACACACACACACACACACACACACACACACCTACCAAAGTTGATGTCACAAATAGTGCAGTCTGCCCAGTGAATGTAATAAAGACTCTTCTATGGACTTACCTGTTTCTTAAGGGCTGGTGAAGATTTGCATATGTCCTGTCCACATCTTCACAAGAATTTGTTACAGGGCAGTTCTGGAAGGCGTCAGAAAACCCAGTACAGGGTCCTTGCAAATTTACCTTTACCTTCTCTAGTGAGACATTTTCATTGTGTGTGTGTGTGTGTGTATTGTGTGTGTTTCTTACAATTTGGTGACAAAAGCAATGTAAGCTGAAAAATGGAGCTAAAAAAGATGGTTAGCATAATTACTTCCATGGGTAGGCAGAAGCAGGCAGATCTCTGTGAGTTCAATGCCAGCCAGGGATAGAAGCAAGTTCCAAGACAACTAGGGCTACACAGAGAAACCCTGCCTCACAACCACCCCCCCTCAAATAGATTATATCCTTTCTTAAACATCAAATAATAATAATAATCTTAAGGATTAACTTACACAAGAATTCTTCTTTTGTCATAAAATTTTATAGCCCACTTGTCATTTTAAGAAATTACCAAATTAATACAATGTATCCTGCAGTATTTTCCATTCTGGGTATTATTATTATTATATTTTAACTTTTCAATACAGGGTTTATCTTTGTAGCTTTAGAGCCTAACCTGGCACTCACTCTGTAGACCAGGCTGGCCTTGAACTCACATAGACCCACTTACCTCTGCCTCCAAAGTGCTGGGATTAAAGACATACGCCATCACAACCCAGCCACTCTGTGTATTATCTGTTAAATGTGAGAAGACTTTTGAGGAAAAACAGTGTAATAACACAGACACCATCACCACATTTCATAGTTTTATTGAATCTTTCTCAGTTTTGTCTATGATAAGTATAATTCATAATTCTGATGACCACAACTATGAAGTACTGCTGTTACTATAAATAGCAGATAACAAGGTTGGCTGCCATGCCTTAGACACACCACACACACACACACACACACACACACACACACACACACACACATTCATATGCATTCACAGAAGCATGGGAGATTCTGTAGCCTCCTACAGTCAAAACAATTCTGTGCTTTTGCAGGAAATACACCTCCTCTTAATTACAAAGATAATTATATGCAATTATTTCAAATTTGCTAAACTACCACTGATGCACAAGAACCCAAGAAGGCTCCAAACATCAAGTAACACTGTTCCATACCACTCAATAGCACTGGTAACCACAAAGAAATTTGCTTCCATCATTTACATTAAAATCACAGATACTATAAAAATAAAATTTTCTTGCAAAATCACTAAAACAACATATCTCAAATGCACAAATTTTGATATGTAACATAAATTCACCTTCATTTAAAAATCTGACAGAGTTTAGCAGTCAAATGATACAGTTATCACTGAAAATGTTGGCATTAAAGTTACCAGCTTCTCGAAGAGAAGAGATTAAAAATCAATTGCAATGCTGAACTTGTTGCTAGTGTTACATAAAAACCTCAAAGAAGTTAAGATTGCACTGTGTTACCATAAGAAAAAAATACAATACAAAGCTTCAAGATCTAGCATTAAACTATCCGTTGCATGTTTGTCTCCCTGTTTCACTAAAGTCTTCCTTTAAATTCTTAAGTTATATCTATAATGCCCAACTCACTAGACTTCTAAATCATCAATTTTGAATTGGAGACAAGCCTACAGCCTTTGGCAGTGGAAGCCCTGACGGTAATTAGGGCAATATTCTAAACTTTCTCAAAAGACCAAACAAACTTTCTACAATATAAATATGAGTAATGTAGACAATATAGAGCCTTTCTAAAATACCCTACACTTGCTATGAATCTAATATGAAATTATGTCTGTAGAACAAGAACCCTAATTAAAAGGAATCCATGCAAATCCAAAATCCAGGGGATATTAAACACATAATAAGGCAGATCTGTTTAGATCCAAATACAAACTAGTCTTAAATGTTCAATACTAACATCTGAAAAATATCTTAAATATAACTGTCATCTTATCTAGCATTATATATTATTGTAAAATATGCCAGTGTAACATTTGAATGCGATACGTTGCAATAAATAGAATTTACATTGGTATGTTGTACCTTCGAGAAAAGTTTTAGAGTCTGTACAGCAGAAGGCCCGTGAACTTCATCAATAAATACTCTTACAGCAATAACATTCAATTGGTAAAAGGAAAGCTTCGATACAGACTTACTAGAACCACCACTTCTAAGTCCCTCTCACTGGTTGAATTCTAGCTGTTGCTAAAGTAATGGTATCTGTTGTATCAAAACCTGGTTTAGTGTCCTGGCTGAATAAGTAGACACTTTCAGGGTTCAACCTGTCCACGCCACCCACAGCTGGTGAACACTGAGAATTTTAGCCAAGGACTAGATGGGAGAGCCCTAGGAAGCACAGAAACATAGTTCCCAACAGCTCTCACTGCCTGCTTTTCAAGATTTGCCCCAGCACCGATGGTGTCAACCCAGGGATGTCCCATCACCCCTGCTGTTCATGAAGAATGGGCTTCAAGCCTCAGGTGACCAACAACTTCTCAGTGTCCACCTTGTGGGTTTTAATGTTGAATTCTCCCTCATGTGCTAAGTGTCTTCATTTATCGATTGAGTTGAACAGAAGTTCAAAGCAACCTTCAGAGAGTCAAAGGACAAGGAATGAACAACAGAACCAGCAACAAACACAGACCCTTGAACCTGGAATGGAAACAGTTTCATATTGTGACATTTAGTGACTGCTAAATCTCACAGTCTGGGTGTGATTCACCCAAATGCCAGCAGATCACTCTGGCATGCTTGCTCATATCAGGTGGCACATATGGGTCTTTGTGGCCAACAACACGTTGCTTCATCCTGACCTGAACGTGCGCAGGTCATCTCGGGGACTTCTTTTGGAGGTTGGCACCGTCAGTCTTGTTACTGTGTTAAATGATGAAGCAAGTTCGGGGAGAAACTTGCTCTTCCTTAGTTAGGGGCTGGGGCTGTGTCTCAGTGGTTGAACTCTTGCCTAGTATCCACTAAGACCAGATCCCAATCCCCAGAACGAGGAGCATGAAAAAGTTCCCCTCACCAAAACAGACTCCCAGAGAACCGTTGATGAATGTTGAAACAGTGCGTTTAACACATACCCAAGATCAGGCTGGCATCCTGAGACTCAAATGGAGAAATCTGTATCAGATAATGAGGAAATGATAAAGACATATGGATCACTGAGCTGTGCGTCTCTGAAATTTCCATTTGGGTTAGTTTAACGAAATTACCTTTGAGCCACTGAACATTGCTGAAGTGTTAACATAGTGAGGAAGTATTTTTGTTATTCAGAGGAAATTATTTCTAAATTTCAGTATCCTTTACAAGTATTTCACTACTGTCTAGCAGACAAGGGCAGGAAACACTGGCTATCCCCTGACTACTAAGGGCTAGACAAATAACTTCACTTTTCAGTTTTATGGTGCCTCGGGTACTTGCAAGCTAACTTCCTTTATTTTCTCTTTGCAAATGTTTTTCATCTTAAGAGTCATTAAAATATTACAATTCGTTAAGAGACTACAGTTTTCCATCCTCTCAGCACACCTATGACTTCCTGCATTTAATGTTTTCAAGAACTTTGAAGAAACAAAAAGAACCCTCCCATTATTTTAGTTTTACATCCTTCTTCTAGAATTATACGCACGCCCCCCACACACACACCTCCAGCTGCATTGTGAATGTCAGCCATGGCCCTCTGAAACACCGACGTCCTGCCCAGTGGCCCTCCATCTAACAGTTCTGCTACTTCACCCAACCAACCTTCCGTCTACAATGCAACTGTGATTTCTCAAAATTGTTTTCACAGATGTGAGTGAGCACTTCTCTTGGAACACAAAGTCCAAAGACACTGCACAGCAGCGGAGCAAGAGAGAACTTTTTTTTTTATCCCAGGGAGCCTAACGGTCCACAGTATTTACAAGAAAAACACATGCACTTCAACTATTTTGAGTGTATTTTGCCAACAATATAACATCCGCAGCCTCCCACCACCAAACATTAAACAAGCAATGGGCAGTAATCAGCTTTCCAGAAATACCCGGAAACACCCATTTTCCACACATGAAAGCTCATTGATTCTTGTTTTTCTATTCAGTTCCCCCAAAGGCATTGTCAGCCACCGTCCACGCTTCTGAGGGACTGAAAGACATGTACCACAGGCATCGGCTCATTACTGAATGGACTCACCAAGGTTTCGTTAGACTATGCCAAACGGTTTTTGAACGTATGGATTTTAGTTTGTTTATGCCATGAGTTGTTCACAGCAACAGGGGCTGGGCAAATCAAAAACTCAAATTCCAGGTGGCCAGTTTTCTTGGAGAAACTTTTAATATCAAATTTGCTCTGCTACACATGCGCACACACACACTTTTAAGTAGAAAAGCCTGGGGATTTCAAAGGAGGAAGAGGGGGTGTTTATCTAGGTAGTACTGTTTGATTACACATACTTCTAGTAAGTAAGAAAGGAGCTTCCAGGAAGGAAAGATAAATGTGAATGTGTAACAAATTGATGCTTTTTTTTTTTTAACTGACTATGAACTCAAGGGGTAGCAAGCAAAGTGGCTGGTTCTGGGAGCATCCTACCACGTGACAAAAGTGAGGTGTTTGGGTCTTGTGCCTTCACAAGCTTGTGTCTCCGTTCTGCTTGAACTCGGATAAAATGTTGAGAGTCATTTCTTCACTCTTGGACTGTAGATTGGCCTCACTCCTCCTGGAGGCTTTCCTGGTGGCTCGGGACAGCCTCCTTCTGAAGGTGTCTCCAGCCAAGAAATAAAGAATGGGGTCCACACAACTGTTGAGACTGGCTAGACCCCGCGTCACCTGGTAAGTGGCATAAACCCTGTCATTGAAGTCACACATTTCCGGGGTCTGGAAATCCAGGCGCGCCCGCAAGTTCATCGTTTTCATCACATGGAAAGGGATGTAGGACACGGCAAACACCGTCAGGACAATTATTACCAGGTAAATGGATTTCCTCCTGAGAGGGGAGTTGTCCAGGTCTTTGTAAATCAAAGCTCTAACGATCAACCCGTAGCAGCCCAGGATCAGCACCAAGGGGATGCAGAACATGGCCACCGTCGTGCACATGCTGTAGATGAAGTAACTCCGCAGGTACTCGTCCGTGGTGGTGTCATAGCAGGTGACGGTTTTGTTTTTCCGGATCCCCGTGCCAGAGTAGAAGAGAATGGGGGAGATGGCCACCACCACGATGAGCCACACCAGCACGCTGACGTAGACAGCGTTCTTCTTCTTGAGCCGGCCCAGGGATTTGAGCGGGTACACCACGCCGCTGTACCTGTGCGCGCTGATGCAGGTGAGGAACAGGATGCTGCCGTAGAGGTTCACGTGGAAGATGAATCTCTGCAGCTTGCACATGGCATCCCCGAAGATCCAGTCGGTCTTGTTGAAGTAGTAGAAGATGAGGGCTGGCAGGGTGAGCACGTACAGAAAGTCGGCCAGAGCCAAGTTGAACATGTACACGGAGATGCCGCTCCAAGGCTTCATGTGGAAAACGAACATCCAGATAGCCACGCTGTTGCCAATGAAGCCGATGATGAACACTAAGATGTAGACCGCCGGCAGGTAGTAGAACTGGAAGCCGGTCTTGGTCAGGGCACACCGGAACGAAGAGGCAACCGCGGCTGTGGAGGCCACGGTACTGTTCCCCCAAGGCGAGCCCAGGTCAGCCAGGAGGGCTGTATCCGTCCCGTTGGGGACAGCCGGCCAAGGCACCTCGGTCATCCTTCGCTGCTCTCCAACTCAGGCAGCAACTCGGAGGGGCAGACCGCGGCGAGCAGGCGGCAGCGGCAGCGGCGGCGGCGGCGGCGGCGGCGAGAGGCTCAGAGCGCATCGGAGGCGCGGGTGCGGGGAAGGGACCGCGCGCGGGAGCTCGCCACGGGTCGGGGCGCGCGGGGGCTTGCCCACGCCGGCTCTGGCCGCGCGTTCGTCGCGGGCCATGAAACTCGCCCCGGGGTTTGCGACCGAATCAAGCTGAAGGACAGGCGGCGGGCAACTTCCCGGTCCAGCTGGCGGCGCCGAGGTTACACAACAGGACGCGCCGGGCACCTCCACCAAGTTTGCAAGTGCGCTCCGGTGCAGGGCAGACGATCGGCGCTGCGCGGCGCGCCCCAGGCGCGCCGGGGTCAAGTCCAAGTCGCTCGGCGGTTCCCAGTGGGGAGAGGGCGCACGCCAACCACCTCCCCGCATGGATCAACTTTGCCTGGCCATCTGACTGGTCCCTACCTTGCAAGCCGGGACCTTCGCCGCCGGAGCCAACCCGGGCCGCTTCTTCCGGCCGCGCTCGCAGCCCGCGCTCAGCCTCGGGGTGTCCGGGCGGCGTCCTTTGGAGAGAGCGCGTGACCGCGGACCCCGGCGCTCCTAGCCTGCACCCGGCTCGCAGTCCATGAAGGCTGCAGCCCTACCCGCGGCTCTGCTGGGTCTCGAGTGCCGGGAGGGGGCAGGAAAGAGAGCCAGGGCTCCCAGCGGGGTGGGCGGAGCCTGGGAGCCCGGGCGAGTCCGAGCTCCGCGGGGAGGAGAGGGGCGTGTCTCAGCCGTGCAGGCTCGTGGCGGCGGGCTCAGGGCTGGGCGCACAGGGCAGGAGGTGGCCTCTGGAGGCAGGGATCTTGGTGCCCCTGCACGCCTGGCACGGCGGCCAACACTCGAATTGGTGATCAGAACAAAAGGTATGCCAGGGCAGCGATGGCTACTGGCCTGGCCAGCGATTGGCCAGAGGGGTTCCCTCGGCCCTCCACCAGCTGGCTCTGCAAAGTGAAGTTGCTGACACCCTGAAAAGGTTCTTTCTGGACGCTGATGGCCTTCTGCCTGAAGCTTTGAGCTGAGAAGCCTAGGCAGACGTCTCCAGAGCCTCTCGGAACTCGCAAGGTGTTTGCAGGCTCCAGACAGCCAGCAGTCTGCAGGTGGGCACGCCCTGGCCCTGCACGGCGTCTTGCTCTGCCCAGCGCGTGTAGGAACCTGCTGATCTCAGAGGGTGCCAGCTCTGAAAGAGTGAGGGTGGTAAGCGGCATGGGCGAGTCGCATTCTGCCCTTCGTGTCTGTTTGCTTTCATTGTTGTTGTTTTCTTGTTGTTAACCGCCACTGATTTTTTTTAATATGCCTGCTTAGCAAAATGGCAATAAACCAGCATCACTGGTATCGTTATTGTGAAATTGTCCTTAAGAGCCTGCTTCAACGGATGTTGGTTAATGCTGCAGAAATCACCAGTACAACTTGCTGGCTGACACTTGCTGGAAAAGACAAGCCCCCTCAAACCTCCATTCACATTTAATTAAATATCAGAGATCACAGTGAAAAGCATTTCAAAATCAAACTGATTATTAGACACAGCTTTATAGAGAAACTTTTTTCGTTTGGGAAGTGGTTTGGTCTTGTTACCAATCCTAGTTCTTAAAGTTCATAGTAGACATCTTAAAAGCACAAACAGAGACCAATGTAATTAGTGTATTTATTGCAGATCTCAGTTTAGGCCTCCAAGTGCATAAAAAATGTAGGCAACATATTCCAAAATGTGTTCACACTTAGTTGCAAACTAAATGGATCATTTCCTACTTGAAGACATAATTAAACAGACTCCCCCAAGGATGGCACCAAGGACTTTATGACAATTTACCGATTAATGTATTTTGTGTGCTGCATTAACAAATACATTTCTCTTGTGGAAAAAATATAAGAATGAAATGTCTTCAACTATATACTGTAACTACTTCTTTCTAGTCCCATATAGTAAATTACTTTGTTCCCTTAAAAATACTGAGTACAGGTTAGTGAAATGGTCGAGCCTGTAGAGGAATTAGTCACTTACCATTGAGCCTAAGGACCTGAGTTTGAAGGAAAGAAGTGACTCCCACAAGCTGTCCTCTGACCTCCACATTCATGTGGGTTGTGACACATAAGCATGTGTTATAGTGTGTTCACACACACACACACACACACACACAGAGAGAGAGAGAGAGAGAGAGAGAGAGAGAGAGAGAGAGAGAGAGAGAGAGCAAAATAAGATGTAGGGTGAGATAAACAGACAACAGACAAAAAAACCTTAGAGGAAAATTATGAGCTCCTTGCTAAGATACCAGAAAGAAAACTACTCCACACCACCCAGTGAGTCCTTCTGGGGAACACACCGATGCTGTGGGTCGTGGCTGAACCCAAAGCATAGTGATGATAGAACCGGAACAAGCCAGACTGCAAAGACGATACAGTTTTGAAACAGCTGTGTCATCTTCTCTCTGCTGCCTGCCTTCCAGTCTTCACGCCACATGATCTCATAGCCTATGCCTTAACAGGTATTCTCACATTGTTTGATTGACAGGTTACTGGCCAGGCTGCCCGTACGCACTATGAAGGAAAAGGAAGCAAGGGAAACCATTAAGCATTTCAAGGGTGCTCAGGAGGTCTTGACTCCTGACTCCTTTGCATTTTTCCTATTTGCAGTCTAAGCAATGTATAACCTCCCTCAGAAGTCTGTTGCAAATGCATTAGCAGCTCATGTGAGTGTTTTAAGATCTACCGTTGGTCCAAATAGCACTAAGCACTTTCAGAAAACCTACTAGAAATTTAGGGAACCAGCCTGCATATCATAGACATTTGAAATCTGGGTTTAGAAAAAGTGATTATTTTAAATACTACTTTTGCATGTGTCATATTTAACTGCATATTTAATACTATGCTTAAGGTACATTAGAATCAAAGTGTGCTTTATTGGAATAAGCTACAATTATTTGTCAGTAACTTTGTATAACTAGATTCAATGAAGGAAAATTAAAAGATCACCTAAGACAGACTCTTCTGTATCCACATTTGAATACAATGACATATGCCTTAAAAGCATAAGAGAAACATACGCCCCATACTGCCTCCAACATCTCCTGCAAGCCCTTGGATGCTAATTGGTAGTGATCTGGAGTTACCATGTGTCGGGGCTCAGGTACTTCCAAGTCTTTGCCCTTTGACAATGCCACACAGTCTGGATTAAAGGACCCCGAGGGGCCACCTTAGCCAGATCTCTGTGGTCTCCTCTTCTCCTGTCTGTAGACACCCACATTGTCTCTTGAGGTGAGGCTCAGGATCCAGGATGTCTTGTGCTCTGGGTTCTTTGCTCCTCTGCCCACCGTGAGACCTAACAAGGTCACTGACACTGCCTTCCAGGAAGAAAGACTACCCACAAGTTCCAAGAAGAAAGAATCTAAGCAGGCAGGGCTAGACTTCCCCTTCTATTTGCTGGTCCTTTCACCGAACGTAAGAATAAAAGCAGACAGCTTCCGTTGTGGGTTATGCCTTTGTTCTTTTCAGGATCCCGTGCCATATATGCTTTAGCTACAGAAAACCGATATTTTCCCATTACTAATCCGTTATATGTTATAAATGTGTTCACCACAACCCTTAGGATGGGTAAGGGAAGGTATCGTATCTTAGAGATTTGTGGCTAGTAAGATATTTAAATTTAGTTGAAAATGCTAAGAATACACGAAGCTTATCGCAATACCATGTAACAGAGCAGCAAAAGTCTCAGGAATGGCTTCCAGAAGCCTGTCTTCGGACAACAAAGGAATGAAGAAATGGCAAACAGACACACATACAGACACACAGGAAAGCTGAGATCAGTCAGGTGATCTGGGTTCTCAGATGGAGAAGTCACAGTGTGCCAGCAGCTTGTGATCATGTTTGTTAGGTAACCACCCTGAAGGGAGGCAGGCTTACATCACCCAACCGAACACCAGGCAGGAGGCAGGGTTAGCTAGTCTTGGTGTGATCTGTCTTCAGGCCATAAATACCCTCAGGGAGAAGAACTCTGGTGGACATTTCCGCACACTCTCAACATTTGAACTCGGTCCAGAGGAAGGCTGTGCCACAGTCATGGAGCTGGGGTATTGAGGTCCCGGACACAGCCATGCTCATAGCAACAACACACTTTCACCTGGGGATTTCACTATCTCCCCATAAACCTAGGTTTTATAGTCAGCATTGGGCACACTTAAAAAACAAATGTGTATGGGCTGGGGAGATGGCTCAGTGGTTAAGAGCATTGGCTGCTCTTCCAGAGGACATGAGATCAATATCCAGCAACCACAAGATGGCTCACCACCATCTATAACCCCAGTTCCAGGGGATCCAAAGCCTTCTTCCGGCTTCATCGGACACCAGGCACACGTGTGATCCACAGACATGTATGTCGTTCAAGCATCCATCCATATATTAATCTGATAATCTTAAAGTGGAAAAAGGAAAGAGCCAAAAAACAAAAAGCCTGCTCTGCTTCTCTACGGTAGAATATACCCCATTGCTGCAACGGGCAGTAATGTTACTGTGGTCAATAACCTGATAAAATGATGATCAGAAAGGTTAGGGAATTCACCGACTCCCGAACACTAGAAACTGGGATTAAACTTGGAGTCACATCCTTTAAATTGCAAGCTAGCAAAGGAGCAGGAAGTGTCTAGGGTCACTTCTAGGAAAGCTTAACTCTTAGTGGCCATTAAAGACTGAGTATTAAAAAAAAAAACAGCAAGCTGGGCGGTGGTGGCGCATGTCTTTAATCCCAGCACTTGGGAGACAGAGGCAGGAGGATCTCTGTGAGTTCTAGACCAAGCCTGGTCTACAGAATGAGTTCCAGGACAGCCTCCAAAATAATACAGAGAAACCCTGTCTTGAAAAACCAAACCAAACCAAACAAAACCAGCAATTCCCAGCAGACTCCTCTCCAGACAGAAGATAGTAAGCTGGACCTCAAAGGCAGTGATAGCCACAGAGACTCTTAGAAGCTTCTCAGATGTACTCACTATGCCTTTACATGGCTTTTATAAATAAAATAGGCAGCAATCCATGTACAAACTGAAAAAATGATAATTATAGAACTCAGGTCCCTATGCCCTCAAACTCATGAAGACAAACTTCTTGCACTCAGATTCTCATTACCGTCTTTAGAAAGCCTAGTTTTTCTTGTTTAAAAATAAGTATCGAAAAGGTCATTGAAAATAACTCCAGTTTGTGTCCACAAGCAAGAAAACACAAAGAAAAATCTGATTAAAATAAGCTTTCTAACTTTAAAGTCAGCAAACCCCACACCACAAACGCTAGAGCCAAGTTTGGGGTCAGCATGGAAAGACAGACATCAATGGCTGGCACAAATCTTCAGAGTTTTCAGGTAAGAGGGATGAGGCCCTGGCAAGCAGCCAAGGAGACCCTGTAGAAGCTCCTAAGACTAAGGAATGAAAACAGGATGGTTTCTGCAGAGTGCCCTCGGAAATGCGAAAAATGTTCCTTCTCAAATAAGAGCGATAGGGACACACCGGAAGCAGGAAATCTACCGCATCCTCAGGGACGTCCTCCAGCAAAGGAGAAGCAGGAGAGAGGGCTAAGGTGGGAATTGAAAAGAAGCCATCAGAAAGAATGAGAGGACGGTCATGTGTCAAGAGGGCCCAGCTGCTCCTGTCAATTACACGCTCGTCATGGATTCAATCAGTAGACTTCCTGAAAATTTATTCCATTAGAAATCACAGCAGGGGGAGAAACAGAGGAGACAGAAACTGCAGGTCAAGGTTGGGATGGGGAGGAGCGAGCAGCTCACTTCAGCGCTCCCTAGAGGAGCAGTCAGGGGGGTCGTCCACAACCAGCCTTCTGCTTTGCACAGACGAATACTAGATTAGTTCTAACAATGCTTCCAGCGCTCAGTTTAGGTTTTGTGTTTGTTTGTTTTGAGATAAGTTTCCCCTGAGTAGCCTTGGCTGAGCTGGGATTTTTAGCAATCCTCCTGCCTCGGTTTCCCAAGCGCTGAGACTACAGGTTGCACCACTGTGCCTGGTTTAGTTAAGATTTCTATGCAAGGCCTGACAGGATAAATTCTCCCCAGATAGTCTTCCTTCAACAAGCAAAGCCTGGATGTTGGGCTTGTAGAAACAAGCCTGGATGTTGGGCCTTGGTGGCACACACCTTTAATCCCAACACTCGGGAGGCAGAGGCAGGTGGATCTCTATTAATTCGAGGCCAACCTGGTCTACAGAATGAGTTCCAGGACTGGCGCCATAGCTACTGGGAAAACCTGTCTGGAAAAACAAACAAACAAAAAAAGGAAATAAAGAAGAAAGAAAGGAGTAAGCCTAGTAATGAAGAAATCATTCCATGAGTCAACTTGTTAAAGACAATTAACTCCAATTGCCTGTTCCTAACAGCACAATGAAACAAAAATTAAATAAAAATCACATGGGAAATCATTAATTTTGTTGGAGAAGAACCAAAGTAGGACTGATGATATGCTTCAAGTAGAGAAATAGCTTCAGGTAGAGAAACAATCATTTGCTTCTTATGTTTTCCAATGACAAGTGGAGCTGACTCTCAGGGTCTCAAGCTAGTTTTGCTTTTTGCAGCCTTCCTCATTTGTAGATGACTGACGTAGCAGCAGCCAGGTATCTCTGCCTCCAGGGTACTACATCACGGTAACAGTAGATAAGTGATGTCCCGTCTCACCTTGAGGTCCTGCGTTGCTTTTTGGATGTAAGTGAAAATACAGATTGTCTGGTAGAGTCTCCTTGGTGTGGATCAAGGGACTTTGCTTGTGTAACAAGGTACCCTTGGTGTTGAAGCTGCTCATCCCACCACTGCCACTGCCAGCGTGTACCAAGTTTTATGTGATGCTGTTTGACGTGGCTTTGTTGAAGCTTCTCCCGTCTCTAACTAACACGTCTTAAGGGCTCAGGACTCTTGGGTTGTGACATCTGTGTGCCATCCACTGCACTGAATGAGGTTTGTGTATTCGCTCATTATCGAGAGCAGGAGCCTAGAGAGGAAGACAGAACTGGGTTCAGAAATCAGTTAAGGCCCCCTTAAAAAGTTAAATAATGGCTGCCTTGTCAAATCAGCTCTATGTCGATGATCGTATTAAATAATTCCTCTATCACCAACCAGCTGTCAGAATGCAGAGCGGTTGGACCGTGCCTGGCACACAATATGTACAAAATAAACAGCGGGTATTATATTGTGGGCATGATTGTTATTTGTAATGTGTTCTTTGTTTTTCTATCTTAACGGATAGGCCTTGACAAGAAGATGCTTGCTTGCAAGAAGCAAAGCAACAGCTTCGACACAGTGATTTCTTCCAAGGATGAAGAAGTTGGATAAGAAAGTGAGCGTGAGAACCTGAAGGAGGCTTTTGTTCTTGCTGTCTCTCGAGTCTTGGCGGAGAATCAAGTAACAGATTTCAAGGAACTGGAAGCATGATCCACTTACTCTGGAAGAAGAAAGACATTGAGGCAGGGAATGAATACTTCTTAAAAATTGTTTCCCTTAAAAAAATAATAATACTGTGGCCACACATTGTGATTGGAATGGAGGAAAGGGTGTTCAGACTGGAAGAATCTCCAGGAAGTTCAATTTGACAAATTCCCTCAGTGTCCTAGAGGCACAGGATTGTGCCTATGAGAGAAAACAGCATTCTTGGAGAGATGAGAGCAAGCCCTGGAAGAGGGTGAGTGAACGCTCATTACCAGTGAAGGCAGCCAGGTAGAAATACTCAGAGAGAGAGAAAGAACTGAGTGAGCTTCCTGGATGCACTACAGAGAGAGAGAGAGAGAGAGAGAGAGAGAGAGAGAGAGAATGAGAATATGAGAATTTACTGTCATTTCACCTGCTTTGTCTTTACTAGGGTTGAGGATGGGGGAGAGAGAGAGAGAGAGACAGAGAGAGACAGAGAGAGATAGAGAGAGAGACAGAAGAAAAGAGAGAGGGGAGGGAGGGTGGAAATGAGGAGGGAGGGAAGAAGGGAGGAAGGCAGACTTTACCTGTGTGACTGGAGAATGGAAGACTTCCTTCCATCAAGGTAAGTTATGAGCTTCTGCTCTCCTCACAGAAGCCAGCCTCGGGGCACGTATGTGCCAGTGACACCCTAATTATTACCCTAATTATTAATTCAATTGGAGAGAAGCCCCAGGGACACATTTACAGTAGCCCAAATCCCTGGAAATAAGGAGTTTGACGTGAGCTTCAGAGCAGCAGAGAAATTGAATTTGGTTTGGAGAATGAGTGCCTCAGGAGAAAGTAGAGAGTGGCAAGGAATGGAAAAACTCCATGCGCTGATTGCGTTAGCCAGGCGTGGTTAGTGCTCTATGAGCTCTGCTCAGGCTTGAAAAAGCACAACTGTAAGGCAGGCTGCGGTTTTCTTTAGCAAGACACCGTGAGAGGTCAGCGTCACCAGTGAATATCGCCAACTGTCAGGGATTGCCTTTGAAAAGCGTTCTGAGAGACAGCTATGGCAAGTGGAAGCTGAGCCTAGCTGCCAGACAAATCATTAGTAGTATTTAAAGACCAGCTGGGCTGGCCGGGCGTTGGTGGCGCACACCTTAAATCCCAGCACTCGAGAGGCAGAGGCAGGCGGATCTCTGTGAGTTTGAGACCAGCCTGGTCTACAAGAGAGCTAGTTCCAGGACAGCCTCAAGCCACAGAGAAACCCTGTCTCAAAAAACCAATAAATAAATAAATAAATAAATAAATAAATAAATAAATAAATAAGACAAGCTGATATTAATATCGGCTCAGGGCCAATTGGGCCCTGAGTCACACTACTCTAAAGTACATACCCAGAGGGCTTCAAGTTAGCACGCTGCAGGGATATTTGTACATCCGTGTTCACTGCAGCACTACTCACAATGTCCAGGAAAAAAAAGAAAAAAGAAAAACAATGGGACCATCTTAAATGTCTATCATCACCAAGACCAACACCATCACGTAAAGCCGAAGTATGTCCTCGTGCTGGGATGCCTTGCAGGACAAGAGTCAGACTGGGCTATCTGAGGTTAGCTAGAGAAAGTCCTAACGAAGGCGTTGTGAGCAGCAGCCATGGGGAGATTTAGATAAAAACTCATCGAGCGTTGCTGAAAGAAAAAGAAAGACGTCAAAGTCCTAACAATGAGTCTGAAACCTCAGGAGAGAGTTTAAAAACCCTCTAATGAGTGATGGGGAAAGGAAGGCATGCCAAGTGAGGGAAACCTAGGCTGCAGAAAGATGTGTAAACTGTAAACAGAGGTTTCTCTGGCCCACCTGATCCTGCAGTTGCTCCTAAATAGCCACTCAGCAGGGGCTTACTCTTAATTACAAACTGCATGGCCTATTACCGTTCAGGTTCAGGCTTGTTAATAGCTAGCCCTTACATGTAAACGAACCCAACCCGTATCTTTTAACCTTTGCTTTGCCACCTGTCTTGTGGCTTTACCTGTGCTCTAATACAGCTAGCTCCTCCTCCGCTCCTCCTCCAGCAGCTGGCTGGCCTCTCCCTGACTCCTCTCTTCTCCTTCCCTGCATTTTCAGTTCGACTTTCCCACCTGGTATTATCCTGATTTGCTATAGGCCAAGCCAGTTGTTTTTTTATTTTAAATCAACCAATGGGCATAAAACAATCACAGAAGGCCTGTCCCACAGCAGTAAAACAACCATAGAAAATCTGAGAAAGGGAAGGAAATGTAAGCGTGCGCAGTTTTCAGAGCCACGTAAGTTTTTAGTAAATCGGTACATTTACGCACACGAAGGACTGTATTCTGTTGTTTATGACAGTAGCTACATAGAGAACAGATGTTCTCTCTCTCTCTCTCTCTCTCTCTCTCTCTCTCTCTCTCTCTCTCTCTCTGTGTGTGTGTGTGTGTGTGTGTGTGTGTGTGGCAGACCCATTAAAACGCAGAGATACATTGTTTTGCTGAATGTTGAATTAAGGGTCATTGTTACTTGTCAACCTGACAAAATCTAGAGTTACTGGATGATGGCTTTCTTAACTAGGGATCAAGATTGAGTTTTATTAAATAGGTTGATGGATCTAGGAGGAGTCATTCCGGATGTGGTGGCACCATTTCCAGGCCTGGGCGCTAGAGCGAATGAAAAAGAGTGACTTAACCATGCGTTAGCACGAATGCATCAGCCCATCCCTCTCCTGACTGTGGATGCAATGTGACCTCTTCTCTTTGGGTATTGCTGCTGCAACTCCGCTGCCATGATGGACTGTGACCTGGAATTGTCAGCCAAATAAATCCTTCTCCCTCAAGTTCTGTTCCTTGAGGACTATTTTATCATAGCAATGGGAACAGCTATTAAGGCAATGAGGATGTAGGATTCCCTGGGTTGAGGGTATCACAGAAGCAGAGGTCACTGCAAGGGCTTCTTTTTAAATGGGGTTAAATTAAGAAAGTAAGAAGTAGAAAAGAGGATTGCTTTTCTTTGTCTCTCCTTGGGTCAGTTAGCCTCCTAAGGTGGAACAGTTTCTTTCACTAGCTGTGTAAGCAAGTTACTGCTATGTGTTACTTCGTAACACAACAATATGACAGTTATGCTTAGAGGACAGACTGCCAGTGCTGGTCTAGTAGTTCTCTACTTTAACTTAATTACTCAAACTTTGCTCCTTGACTCAGCAATTTGAGCTACTATGTCATTTCATCTATGACACTTATTTTATAGAGTTAACAAGGTGAATTTTATATAGTTAATACAAAGTTAGACTATTTTCCAAGAATGACAGAACAAATATCTGGAACTCAAACCTTTTACATATAAATATCCAAGGTTATAAGAGCAGATTCTATTCCAGACACTAGGCTAATGTTTCTCTTGAATGCCATGAGTATCTAACCTCTCTATGCCTGTAAATCATGAGCACTCCCTTCTGTATCCACTCACCTCAAGATATTTTGAGGACTGTGTGATGGACTTCCACGTTGAGTTGTTTGAAAAAGCCAATGTTATGCAAATTTAAAGAAGTCTTTTGACACATATTGCTTTGCAACAAAGCTGTGTAGGTCTTTGAGATTGCTCTCCACCTAGCCAATCACAAACTCTTAATATACCATCTCACCATAGTGTTTCTCGGCACGGGATTTTACTATTGACTATATAAATACTTAATAACATAGAATCTGGAATATTCTACCACAGACTATTCCTTTTGAAATATAACAGGGAAGTAGATGGGAGGAGTCTATGCAGAACACAGCTATGTTTTATTCTCCTTTTTTCTCCTATGAGGCTTTTCCATTTTTTTCTGTGGTCAAAGAATTTCACATTCTCTAACTCATTCACTGGTTTTTTTCTTTTTAAGACCTGTCCTAATGACCCCAAGTAAGCCTTTATACACCCTAGCCCTCTGTATGGGTAATAAATAGTGTCTGGATGTTTTCTAACATTTTGGACCCTCGATCTTTATGACATTTACTACTTTCTCTGTCCTGTCTTTTTAATTAAATTCATTTTCAAACCAAAAAATTGATTTGGTGAAATAAGCAGATGCAATACCTTGTGTTATCTTGTGTTGCCTTGCGTTGAAGAATGAACTATTCATTTTTATCCACTGACTTCCCTGTGATATTGAAAGCTTTCGCATCCCAAAGATGAATTGTAAGCACTGAGACTCTCTCCTTGAATTTTGTCTGACAAGAGCCTCCATTACAGACACTATCCCTGTGGCTGGAGACTGGTGAGGAGAAAGAGGAAAGAGACATATTTAATTTTCTGCAAGCTTTTATTGCTTTGTAGACTAAACAAAGATTCTTTCAGTTTTTCCAAATAACCTTTTGGGGGGGGTATTTATCCTACTTCTCCTTTAATCCAGAGCTTTTTAAAAATGATCTGTTGTGGGTATTGATAAAAAAGGGGGGTTGCTATGAGAGAAAATTCAAAATAAGATCCTTCTTGTCCACACTGATTTTTATGAGAAATTACATTACTTCATTCAGCAAATATTTAATGAATAGAGTAATGCATAAGAAATTCCATCGCTTACATATGTTTGTAGGAGAAAATGCAGGCATGATGTGGCAGTCAACCTACCTGGCACACTGTGCTTCTGAGTAAGAATCATAACACACCATGCTCCTGAGTGTTCCCAGAAGCCAGAACACTGAATTCTGAAGTGGTGTCAGTAAGTCAGTAACTGGCCTGCTTTTTAATAATTCAAAAAAATCAGATGCTAAGCAATGGGAAGATATAGAGGATCTTCAGATGAAATTAATAAGTGAAGATGCCAATCAAAAATGTTATATACCATGAGTTGGGTAGCATTCCAAAACCAGAAAAACAATGCTTATCGGGTTTTAAGAATAATGGGGAGGGTAAAAATTCAAAGCACAGAGGACTTTTATAGCAGCAAATCTATGTCACACAATGCTGTGCTGGTAGATATATGTCGTTATAGATGTTTTCCAATGCACTACACTAACAGAGAGTGAACGCTAATGTACACTAGAGACTTGGAGTGATAATGACGCTTCAACCATTGCAGACTCATCGAATACAACAAGCATTCTATTTTGGAACAAGATGTTGATTGTGGATGACATTGTATGAGGGCTGAGAAGACATGGAAACTCACTGCTTCAGGGTCAGTATGGTTCTGAGCATCAAATTACCCTAAAACAGTGCTTTAAAAATTCAGCAATGGTTAATCTTAAAATTATTCCAATGTTATGAATGTCTCCCGTATTAGTTGCTTTCTATTGCTGTGATAAAACACAATAGCCAAGGCAGTTTATAGAAGGAACAGGTTTTTTTATGTTGATGCATTTTTGTAATTTAAATTAGAAACAAGCTTATTTCACATGTCAATCCCAGCTCCCTCTCCTTCCCCTCCTCCCCCCCACCCTCCACTAGCCTCCTCAACCCCCCCAGCCAATCTCTGCTCCACTTCCCAGAGAGGGTGAAGCCCTCCATGGGAGAGCTCCAAAGTTTGTCATATCATCCTAGGCAGGGCCTAGGCCCTCCCCCATGTGTTTAGGCTGAGAGAGCATCCCTCCATGCAAATGGAACAGGTTCCCAAAGTCCATTCATATGCCAGGAATAAGTACTGATGTACTATCCAAGGAAGCATAGATTTCTGAGGCCTCCTCACTGACACCCAAATTCAGGAGGTCTAGATAAGTCCATACTGGCCTCTCAGTCACCAGCCTGGGTCCATGAGCTCCCCCTTGTTCAAGTCATGTTTCTGTGGGTTTCACCAGCCCATTCTGGACCCCTTTGCTCATCATTCCTCTCTCTCTTCAACTGAGTTCCAGGAGTTCTGTTCAGAGTTCCAGGAGTTCTGTTCAGTGTTTAGCTGTGGGTGTCTGCTTCTGCTTCCATCAGCCACTGGATGAAGGCTATAGGATGGCATATAAGGATGTCATCAATCTCATTATCGCGGAAAGGCATTTAAGGTAGTCTCTCCACTATTGCTTAGATTGCCAGCTTGTGTCTTCTTTGTAGGTCTCTGTAAATTTCATTAATGCCAGATCTTTCCTCAAACCTGTATCCCAGACTCTCTGGTGGTAGGATTGTAGACTGGCAATCCCTTGATCCATGTCTAAAATCCATATATGAGTGAGTACATACTATGTTTGTCCTTTTGTGACTGGGCTACCTCACTCAGGATGGTTTCTTCTAATGTCATCCATTTGCCTGCAAATTTCAAGATTTCATTTTTTTCCCACTGAGTATTACTCCATTGTGTAAATGAACCACATTTTCTCTATCCACTCTTCAGTTGAATGGCATCTAGGTTGCTTCCAGGTTCTGGCTATTACAAATAATGCTGCTGTGAACATAGTGGAACAGATAGATGTCCTTGTTGTATGAATGTGCATCTTTTGGGTATATGCCTAAGAGTGGAATTGTTGGATCTTGTGGTAGACTAATTCCAGTTTTCCTGAGGAATATCCATGCTGATTTCCAAAGTGGCTGTACAAGTTGGAACTCCCACCAGTAGTGGAGGAGTATTCCCCTTTCTCCACATCCTCTCCACCATAAACTGATATTGGAGTTTTTTATTTTAGCCATTTTGACAGGAGTGAGATGGTATCTCAGAATTGTTTTGATTTGCATTTCCCTAATGGCTAAGGATGTCGAGCACTTTCTTAAGTGTCTCTCAGCCATTTTAGATTCCTCTATTGAGAATTCTCTATTCAGTTCTGTACCCCACTTTTTAATTGGATTATTTGGTGATTTGATGACTTGCTTCTTGAGTTATTTGTAAATTTTGGAGATCAGCCCTCTGTCATATGTGGGGTTAGTGAATACCTTTTCCCAATCTGTGAGCTGCCGCCATTTTTGTCTTGTTGGCTGTGTCCTTTGCCTTTCAGAAGCTCCTCAGTTTCAGGAGGTCTCATGTATTAATTTTTGATCTCAGTGTCTGCGCTACTGGTGTTATGTTCAGGAAGCCGTCTCCTGTACCAATTCGTTCAAGGGTACTTTTGGATTTTTTGTTTTGTTTTGTTTTGCTTTTTCTTCCAGGGTGATAAGAATCCATTGTGATGGGGAAGCATGGCAGCATGAGGGAAGGGAGGGACAGAAACAGGTGTCAGGGAGGTCAATCGTGTCTTCAGTCACAAGCAGGAAGAGGAGGAAAGAGACCAGGACGCGGGGCGGGGCTCCGATATCTCCAAGCCCTCTCCTGGTGACACACTGTCTCAACAGAGCTGTACCTCTGAACTCTTCCCAAATAGTGCTACCAGCTGGTGACTGAGTGTTCAAATATAGGCTTGTAGAGGAAATTCATTATTCAGGCCACCCTTCCTCCTTTTGTTTCCAACACATTTCTGAGTGATAATGCTCTAAAATGAAAAAAAAAACCTCACAAGGGATAAAAAGAATGAAGGGTGCAGCATTGACCGATAAGGGAATTAAATCTGGAGGAGAGGAGAGAGAAATTTTGAAGCCCAGCACTTACTCAAGAAGTAAATGGATTCGAGAAAAGCAGGAGTTAACCAATTTGGAAGCTAGAAGTGGCAAAATGGTTGAGGATGGAGGGTTGATTGAAAGCTATGGTAAAGGATGGGAACCCCAATTTTGGAACCTCATTCAATTCAACTAGAAAACATGCTTCCCCAGGTTCTCCTCCTCTCGGTACTAACAGTCGACTCAAACTCTGATCTTGGAGTATTCCTGGGTGAAATAGAGACCGTTGTGGTGTCAGGTCTCATACCCTGAAGGCTAATTAGTAGACTACAGAAGGAGCCTGTGGAGCCTCTTGACAGCACCCCAAAAGGCCACCTTAAACCCCTCATCCCTCGTCAGACCTCAGCGTCTGCTACAAGTGGGCGCCTCAGTGATGCGCCTGGTCCAATAGACCTTCCTTCAACTCAACTCTTAACACCCAGCAAACATTTCTGTGTTCTCTTGTTCCTCAGTGTCGATTGTGAACGTGTAGCCGGGCTCTGCGTCGCTCAAAGAAAGCTGTATTCCGAAAGAAGGGCTGGACACGATGAACTCCAGCGAATCAACACAGATGACCGCTAACGGTAAAGGAAAAAGGACAAAGACAGGGAAGGAAAAGTCACGGTGTAAAGGCACAGATAATAGCATTGGTGAGTAACGGAAGTCAGTGTACCACGGAACATACAGGGAAAGACTTTTTCTGTGCACATATGAGGACTTGGGTTAAGACCCCCAGCACCTATGCAAATACAGGATGTTTTTTGGCGCATATACATCACTCTAATGCTAAGGGTGGGTAGAGACAGATTTCAAAGTTCAACGCCCATGCAGCCTAACTAGTTCGTTATTTCTGGGTTCCCAGAAGGGATTTCTCAAGAAACGAGGTGGAGGAAATAGAGAACACACCTGACTTTATTGACCTCTGCCCTTCATGCACACATGCGTATACACGAAGACACACATGCTCTACACTTACATGCATGTTTTCAAAAAATTACAAATAAATATGACACCATGGAAAGAATGAAACCCACTCGGATATGCTACATAAGTGCACTCACTGAAATCTGTAATTCTTTAGACATATTATTCAGAGAATATCATCCAGGCAAGAACAAAAAGACAAAGTTATGGAATGTGAAAGGGAAGAGAATAAAATCAATGATGACTGTCCGGGTCCAGCAAGTAAGTGTCAAGTATTCAGGTTGGGGACAACAGAGCAAAGGAGGGGTAGAGACGGAAAATTATGACAGCCTGGCACCAAGCCGAGTATGGAATGATCAGCACCAGGTGAAAAAAAAAAGACCCATGTCCTAACCAAAGTTCAGAAAACAAGATATGAAGAAGAGTTCTTAGGACTCTCCAGCAGTGGGAACACCACTCATGAAGGGAAAATGCAATTAAATATTATTGACCTTATCAGTAGCTGCACTGATAAGAGCAAATGGCTTGGCACTTACAACCCCGTCTTTCCCAAACCATGACTCATCTAAGGGAGGGAAATGAATATATCTCAGAAATACAGTATCTTAAAAATAATTCTCCTAGAAAATTTTTTCTGGAAGCTACTGAAAATGCAGTAAAATGAAAGAGTAAACCACAACAAAGGAAGACATAGAGTTCATGTCTCAAGAGAATGGAGAATAGAGTCCCAGGATTATGTGTGTCTGAGACTCAGTGAGAAATCAGTTAATTTGCATAAAAAAGGCTAAGGAACACAGAAGACCATCTAGAAGAAAGGTTGTTGGAACTAATTCATGGTTGAATGGGTATTGGAAGAATTTCTGCATTTGGTTCTCATCTTAGAGAAGTCAGGAAAATGACTTAGCTGTAATTACCAGCAGGCATTGTTTAATAATAACACTTGGCCAAGGACCAGTTGCACATACACAGAGGTACTATAAGACCTTGTGGATGGATAGTCACAGTGCAGCTATCTTAATGCAGGTACACTCTATTAAAAAATCTAACTAGATTTGGTTTTTCTCTGTTGTTCGTTTCTTAAGTAATAGAATAGTTCTGAGTTGAGAGGGATTCTTAACTATTTTCAGCCCCATCATGCCTGCCACAGTGGTTATGCATCAGTAAAATCTTTTTCTGCCTTTGCCAAGAGCCAGCATCTATTCCATAAACATTTATGTTCCTTTTTCAGATTTATTTAACTTATGTATGTGGCTATTTTACCTGTGAGTATGTATGTGCATTCCTGGTGCCTTCGGGGTCAGAAGAGGGTGTTGCATCCTTTCACACTGTAGTCCCAGGTGGTTGTCAGCTACCTTGTGGGTGCAGGGAACCAAATCTAGGTCCTCTGGAAAAGTAACAGGTTCTCTTAAGTGCTGGGCCAATGCTCCAGGCCCAGGAACTCTTGACTGGCCTCTGATTGGCACTGGTCCCATACTCTCTCACTTCCTCTCTTCTTCAGTTAGCGGCCCGTGAAATTAATAGACTCTTTAGAAATTCTAAGTTTCACACACACCCTTATTTTTACAGTGCTTTGAAACACCATCTCATGATGGACCCCTGCTAGCCTCACAGGCTGTGTAGCCTAGCTGCCCCAGTCTCCCTGTCTCTGCCTCCCAAGTGTTGGGATGACAGGCAAGGGGCAACAGGGAAAACAAATGGCCGCATTGTTAATCCTTAATTAATAGGAACACCTTTTTCCCTAAAGAAAATTGGATTATGATTTTGGGGGAGGTTTGCCAAGACCAGCTGCCAGATGCATGCTGACGCACAGTTACTGTATCAGAAAATTGAATTATCTGGGGAAATTTCGAGTTGACTCTGAGAGACTGGTTTATATAACACTCATTTTCAAGCAAACTTAAGACAGTCTTATTTGTATCTCAGACATTTCTGCCATTCCATTCTTACCGTTTCCACTTAAGCCACTCATCTCTTGAAAATAATATGGAAACAATTCCCAAGGAGTCTGACTGTCCTGCAAAAAGAAGCAAGTGCATTCTGTGAGCTCTCCTTTCCCTCTCTGGACTAATGTAGAATGACTGCAATGCCTTGAGTTCGCTTCACGATGATAACCTCAGCATTCCTCAATACCGTACTATTCAGTTCTCCTGTGAGCAGAGAAACTCCATTGTTGGGCTGTTCTGTCTATCTTTGTGTATGTGTGTGTGTATGTGTGTGCAATTGGATTAATTGCCTGGAGTCTCATTAACAAAATGCAGTCATGGTATAACATTCCCTCATGTTTTTTGACTCCCACAGAATATGGAACAGGTTCTCTCGCTTAGAATCATCCCTGTCTGCCTTTATGTACCTGTGATCTCTGATTGATCTGCTTAACCAAATGTTCTAAACCTTGGGGAAGGAGAGGCAGAGCTCTCGCGTGGATGAGAACTGAATAGAAAGATTTGGGGGTTAAGTCTTAACTGGAGCTAGAATCTGCTATGAGACTTAACACAATTTTCCTGTCTCTCTGACCCTCAGTTTTCCTACCCCAAAGGAGGAGGGAATATTTCCTGTCTGGGGTCACGGTCATGACTGATGTGTGAAAACTGATGTGCCAGATCTAAAATGCTGGTGTCTTATAGATGCGTTCATCCCATCACTTGGAAATTTAATGAGTATTGAATTTTAGCCAGGTGATTCGGAGACACTGACAACTCACTTTCATGTATTTCCTGTGTGCTTCTCCAAGAAAGCCCATAATCTGCCCTGTGCAGTTTTCTTGTAGTAAAAGATGTTACATTAAAAGCTAACATGTTCTCTACCGTAATAACCTGTAAAAGTATTGACATAAATGTAGGTGTTGTTTGTAATAACTGAATTTACTTGGACGTTTAAAATGACATTCAGTAATTTTCAGCAGTTAGGATAAAGTCATATTGTTGAACATCACTGAAGAGTTTAAGAGTGAGAAAAATTTATGATAGAGTCTACCTTAGTGTGTGGCCGGTGAGTTCATGTTATGATGGGTATCACTTTGAAGACTTCCACATGTTAAAATATTTTCTAGCGTGGGTATGGGTGTGGTGTGCATGTTTGCGCAGAAGGGAGTGCAGAGCATGGGTGTTAAGACGAGATTGATGTGGTTGTCTTTCTTGATCACTCCCTCTACCGTGTATACTGAAGCAGGGTCTCTTCCTGATTCAGGCGTGTCTGATAGTCAGTCTTCTGGAAGGATCACCTCTTTCTATCTTCTGGGTGCTGGTATTCCAGGCAGGCAAACACTTTATCCACTAAGCCATCACCAGCCTGTTTTAATTCTTGCATTTGTAAATATCTATTGGTCTTGAGTTCATTCACCGACATGAGGAAATTATGTGATAACCGCACAACAAGGTTATACAATCAGTGATGGCTTTGTTATCTTTGAAAAAAAAGTTCAATCTGTGTACTCTGGCTTAGCACAGATATTAATCACTGTATGATTAAGTTTATAAGTCATCATGTTTTAAATTTTATCTTTCAAATACGTTTCTGATGATCCTGTGTTTGTCTTTTCAATTTTTTTATGCTATACAAAAAAACAGGGTGAAATGTAAAAATTGCTAATCAAAGTAATTTCAATTATCAAATAAATATTGAAATGCTTACCTTTTGTGAGACTAGCACGTCAGAACAAAACTTCAAAAAGGACAATGAGAGAAATACGGGATTAATATTTCAATCTCATTTTTTTAGCCTTTCATGAAAAATTTGTAGAGGGGCCAATTTTTGATAATAATCTTAAATTATACTAAAGTTAGCTGACTTTCTTAACCTGAGGCTTACAAGAGGTAACAGGGCATTCGGGGAGCTGTGCATTGTAACATCCAATAACATCTCTTCTATTACTGCATAACATGCCCTGAACCTTTAATGACTGAAAATGGGACTCTTTGAAATAACAGCTACTCCTAATTTAAACCTAGAATGGAAACTTGCTGGCATTTTACCATAAGTGCAGTGTTTCAAATGACATAAAGAGAAGGAGGCTCACATTAAGTTATTAGTCCCCGACTGAAGTTGGATGAAACACACATAAGGTAATACTTATTTTAGAAGTATAATAATTTTCTACTTAATAATTTGTTATTCCTAAGGTCTGTAATTAGATGAATGATTTTATTTGAAAAAGGCTTTTCTCTGGGAAAATGGAGACTTAGACAAAGAGATGAACTCTTTTCACTAGTAAGGGTGAGGTTTTTGCTTTCCTAGAGGGAAGGAACACAGGTTGGATAAGCCCTTCCTTCATCTTCCTCAAGTGTCCTACTTGTTAACAGCAGGGCAGGGAGGGGGGTTGGACCATCAGCCTATTTTTCATCCTAAGTTTCTTCATACTTACGGCCTAAGAAAGGCGAATTAGAAATCTTGTTTGGTTAATTTTGGCCCATTAAGTTTTTTTTAAAAGTCTCAGCAGCAGCTAAGCCACACAATCAGGTATCGATTTTTTTCCTGACCCCAACTAGAGTAAAGTATGTGCCAGGCCGAAGTTCTTCCCGAAGACACAATTATTCTTCCTCTAAGTCCCTCTGCGGTTACATATCTCTTAGAACTAAGAAGAAAAGAGAGATTCTGGAGCAAACTGCAAAATGGTAAGAGGCATATTCACTTTGCCAGTGAAAATGTTACATCCAACAAATAGCTTCTTGTTTAACTGCTGGGTCAGGAAATCTGTCTTAGTCATATTCATTATGTCATCTAGTACGCAGCTGCTACCCTAACTCCAGAGATGAATGAACACTGCATCTGAGTAAATGAGTATTGCCATACCCCCTCCAAAAAAGCAGGACTTGAGTAAAACAAAACACATTGGTAAATGCTTTGGAAAGTCACTATCAACTCAATATAAACTAATCTGTGTTGCTCACAGACCAACTACTTTATTACAGGCTATAGTTTTTGCTTAATAATTAAACATTAAATCCAGCCATGTCTTAATAGTTTTGAGTCCTGGCCTTCAATCAAACACTATAATGCATAGGATGCAGGGCCCAAGAAGACAGATGAGATTCACCTTCAACTTGAAGAAAAAAAAAACATACTAACAATTGACGAGTTCAGGTTGTGACCATTTATTTAGTAAAACTAGTTAGAATGCCAATGCATATGAGGACTTGGGAAGACGACTTTAGGAGGTATCTTAGCTAGGGTTTCTGCTATTGTGGTAAGCATCATGACAAAGAATTTGGTGGAGGAAAGGATTTATTTCAGCTAACACTTCTAAGTGATAGTCCATCACCGAGAGGATGTTGTGGCAGAAACCGGAGGCAGGAGCTGGAGCAGAGAGCACAGAAGAGGAGTGATGCTTGCTAGACTGCTCTCCAAGGCTTTGCTCAGCCTATTTCTTACGAAGCTCAGGATCACCCGCCCAGGGAGGCACCACCCATCACAGGATGGTCCTCCCGCATCAACCATCAACCAACACACTACTCCACAGACTCACCTACAGGCCAATCTGATGGAGGTGTTTTCTTAATTAAGAGTCTGTCTTCCCAGTCTGTCTAGGCATGTCTCAAGCTGACAGATAACAGCACCGTCGACCCCTCGTCAACTTGGCATACAAATAGATCACATCAGCTTTTATTTCTTGCTCTTCCCCAAGATCTCATATTAGTATCAATATCACAACGTAAAACACTCCAACTTTTAAAAGTTCCGTAGTCTTTAAAAGTTCAGTCGCAGGTTAGGTGTAGTGGCTCACGCCTTTAATCCCAGCCCTTGAGGTTGAGTCAGGCAAGATCTTTGTGAGTTTGAACTCAGCCTGGTTTACAAAGAGAGTTCCAGGACAGTTAGGGCTATTACACAGAGAGACTGTTTCTTGAAAAACAAAAACATAACCCACGATAGTCTCTTTAAAACAACCAGAAGTTCAGAGTCTTAAATTTATCCAAAGTATCTCTAGATATCTAGTTTCTCTAAAATATTCAAAGTCTAAGATTTCAGTCTCTCAATTGTGGTTCCTTAAAATGAAGAAATAAGTTAAATACTTTTCTTTTTACTCTAAGAGTGAAAAACCAGTCACACAGTCAGCCCGGTCACAATCAGACCAAAGCTAAACTTAAATCCAACAGTGAAAAAGTTCAGTGCGGGATGGCTGGTGCACACTCATGATTCTGTGGATCCCATGATCCTGTGGATCCCATGATGCTGTGGATCCCAAAGGGCTCGATTTCTCTGGCTTTGCCACCTGCCACGAGTACAGTTTGACTTGAAGGCTCAGGATGACTCCATCCACATCACAGGATGGCTACTGCCCCTGTTGGCCATCCCACGATACTGGCATTTCCAGTATGCTGGGATCTGTATTAAAACGGGCTGCACCTTCAGCCTATCCTGGACTCTCATCCGGTGCTCTTTACACGGACTGTCACTCGGCACTAAGTCTCAGCATCTCTCCATTACTCCTTTAATCCTGGGGCTTTTACAGCTACCGAGGCTGCTTCTTCCCAGTGGCCTCTCCTGGTCTCTCACAGTGCTGAGCCTTGGCTGCTCTCTAGGACGCCTTCGTCCCTTCCAAGCCAGTACCACCTGGCAAACTCTTGCACATTTCTAAGCTCTGCCAGCACCAGGCACAGCCTTGGCACCCTCTGAACCACGGCTTCTGTGCCCTGACCCTGAGGAAATACGCCCAGAAGATCTCACCTAAATGGCGCTGGCCTCCTCTGAACCACCATCAGGTTCTCAGCGCCATCTAGCCAGCCTTGACTGGCCCCAGCAGAGTGAAGGCTTGACTTTTGAGCTTACATTCTCTTGTTAATCACAACTGCCGATTCAGCCCCACCTGACCAGAACCCCATACAACATCTCTCACAAATGACGGGAGGAGTCCTGGCCTTTCTCCCACAAAAGTACACAAGCCAGGGCCTTTGTAGTAGAATGCTTGCCGTTCCCTCCTACTCCGGCTTATCTCTCCCCAACACGCCAGCTGAAACGAAAGTTTTGCTCTTTTATGAGAGAGGTTGATTATTCCTTATTTGTTGTTAAATAACAACCAACCATATTTTTATTTTACATTTTTCAGTGTGAAAAAAAAACCATCAACTTAAAGTACATGACCACGAGGTCAACAACTTTCAAGGACTGCTTTCTTGGAAATTCCGTATATGCATATATAATCAATATTTTCATATATGTGTGTGTTATATTTCCTTTGCTTTATCATGTCTCCCTCCAAAATCCATGGTCTCCCTCATTATTATTGTTTTAAATGCACACATATATTAATATGTATGTAAATACAATCTTCCGAGTTCATTTAATATTGCTCATATGTGTATATGTTTAGGGTTGACTGCTTGGGATGGGTAACCTAGCAGAGGCTATCTAGGGCACTTCCTGGAGAAGAATGCATTTCCCACTCTCCACAGCTATTGTCTGTAGCTCTTCATCTAGGGGTGGGGCCTTGTTCAATTCCTCCCATCCGTTGTTTTTCAGAGTTTGTTTAAACGAGATAAGTGGGTTTTTATTTTCTCATGCCTTTATCTGGCTGGCTTCTGTCCACTTTTTATATTTCACAGTATGTGTTTCTAGTTCCTAAGTGTGAGTCACATGCATGTCGTTTGAGTCATTCCCATGACCCGGCATCTGTGTCCACAGGCTGTGTCTACCCCAGGCATACTCAGATCATGGGCTGTTTGGATGGGGTTCCTGAGGTCTTGCTACTGGGCAGCAAAGTCTCACTAATTAGGCAAGAATCCTCCAGCAAAGTATTAGAAGCCAAGAAAGAAAAGCACCGGACCTTGACCTCTGCCGTAGAAACACAGAACATGTATACTGTTGGCTTTTATACCAGGAAAACAAGCAGAGAAGGAGAGATCACTTAGAATGCTGAGTATTTTTTATATGGGGACATCATCTTTCTTAGAACAGCAAGTACCTCAATAACATAGCACAAACACCACAACAGCAGATGGCTGTTCCTGTGGTCAACTGAAACCTGCCACATGTACACACAATACTTTATGAAGAAGGATTTTGCTGGACGAAATGAAGGATTCATTGTTTTATGACTACACAAGACTGCATTAAAGTGTGTGTGCACGTGCATGCGTGCTTGCACGCACCCGTAAGGAAGACTAGAGCAAGGCTAGATACATGCTGTCATACTGGGTTCAGTTAGTACACCTTCCATAGGCTGGCATAGTCAGAAATGTCAACTCTTGATATCAAGCAGCTTTGTAAGAGTCCCTTTAGGGTTCAAGGAAGGAGAGAGAAGCAAAGACATGCCAAAAGACTCCTGGGAACTAGAGTCGAGGGAAGGCTGAACTCACTCTGTGGACTTGCTGGCTCCTTAACAACTGGCCGTTGTACCGCACTTAGTAGACCCACAATGCATCTAGCGCTGCTGCTGCTGCTGCTTCCCCCTTTTCTCCTGCTATTCATCATGGAAATGTGAAACAAGGCAGCCATTTCCTTTCTGTCACAATGGGAATCTCTGCCAAACCGAGCCACTTCTAAAGTTCCTTGTGTATTGTAAGAGTCATAAAAGTTAATCATCACAAAGTATTACCTCGCTATTATGTTTTCTTCCCAAACGTTTTCTAGTCTCAAAGAAAAAAAAATAGGCAATAGACTATGAAGGTGGATTGCTGGCCTGAGGTTTCAAAAAGGAATGTTCAACTCAGAAAACATACATACAAGTAACATTATGGACTTACCAGGTTATATTTAGTAATATATGTATAAAAATACGTATCATCTGTATGTAAAACACATACATATGTTCAACACATACGTAGAAAACATAGTGTCTGTGAACAAAAAAGGACAAGAGTTTGAGTGAGAATAGGCTGGGTTATCTCGGGGGGTTTGAGGGAGGAAAGGGAAGGGGGAAATGCAATTGTATTAATCTCAAAAATAAGCGAAAAATTCTTTTCCCAAACTCCAGGATTCCAGAAAAAAAATATGGATGCGTATCTTAACTGAAAAATTCGGCTATAGATATTTTTAGTGAAAATTATAATTTTCTTTGTATTTCAAATTGAAAACATCTCCAAATCTAGTTTTTATGTTTCCCCCTGCTATTTCCATATTTAGAAATATATGGATAAAAGGTTACAGTATAGTGTAGCTGATGGCACAAATTTCTCTTTTCCGACAAATTTAAATTATATAATTTCAGAACCCTAGATAACTGTTTAGCTGGAGATTTTCTTTGCTGCTGTCCATATTGGTATATGTCAGTTGCCATTAAATGGAGTTCACTTTAGTGAATTCATCTTAAGGAATATATATATTACATTAGCGAAATATATTAAATAGTCCAGTGATTGATTGTATGTTTGGGGAAATATGATTTTATTTATTACACCATTGATTTAATACATATTCAGTAATATTTCACTGAGTTTATTTGATTTTGGCATGACACGCAGAGCTAAGTGAGTTGAATCCATGCTTCAATGTGAGTTTAAACAAATTCCATTGATATATATATATGTTTGCTCTTGCTAGTAAAACATATCCATTGGCTGGATGATAGAATGTCACCATGTCAGACTGCTTTTCGTGGCCTTAAAATTGTGCTTTCCCAGACCAGCTGGAGCCTCACATGAAGCATTGTTTCTCAAAACACTGCTGTAGCACATCCAGTCTTGGAGAGAGTTGGGCAACACAGGCATCTGCTGACTGACACAGGGAAGTATTCTTCACACTAGTCCAAAATTGTGACAAATGAAAACAGGTTTGTTTTCCATGACTTTCATTTAAGCTTAATAATATCCGTGCTATAAATACTTGTTCCTAGACTCATCCATTTATATGACACTTGAAGTAATTTATACAGCCTCTTGCCAGGTCAAAAGGCAGCTCTGCTCACTGACAGATACTTTTACCCTGAAGCCGGCATCTAATCTCCAGTTTCTGTAGCGTACATCTTCCTTCAGCGAAAATTCTCATTGATAATTAAACCCCAGAGAAATACTTCCTAAACAGATGCTGCGTTTAGTTACTGAACATGGAGCGAGTTGGCATCAAACAGCAGCTGCTCTTGTTTACGTTTGTAGATATTCTCCTGGCACCAAAAGTTCTTCATTCCAGAGTCCTCATTCCACCTGTCTTCCGGCGTACACATTGTCTGGAGAGAGTGAAACCCAAGACCCAGATCCTGGTGTGTAGGGTGAGAGGCCGCAGTGGGCTGGAAAAGGCCAGGCAGCCCCATCACTGGGGAACAGGCAGAGCACAGTAGAGAGAATGCAGTGGCCCTTCGCAGCAGAGATACTTCAGGCGTCTAGTACTCGTGTTGACCACTTAATCGTTCTAACTCTGTTGTGGAAGAAAGAAAGAATGACTGACATAAGCAGAAAGGATCTTGTTTGGTTTTTATTTGACTCCCATCTCAAAGCCAGCTGAATTAAAAAGTCACATATATTCAATTGATTTCAGAAGATAGAGCCAAATGTGGGACTGAGTACAATTAATCACTATGGTAACCACCAGGGATCTTCCCCCACCGTTGCAATGGCAGCGTTGACTGTCAGTGTGCTGGCACCTAATGTGGAAAACCCCAGATAGGTTTTGAAAAATAGTCTGAACTTATATTGTCAAGTTTACAGGAAAAGATATGCGACTCCACAGTTTTATTTTGCATATATATATATATATATATATATATATATATATAACATACTTGAATGGTCAACCTTTTTAAAAATGATTTGTTTTTAATTATGTATGTATGAATGTGTGGATGGATGCTGGTGTAGGTACATGTGACTACAGGTGCATGCAGAGTCCAGAAGAGGGCATGAGATCCTCTGGAGCTTGTATTACAGATGGTTGTGATCCACATACCTGGATAAGGTAGGAAACAATTGATCTTCTGCAAGAGCAGTATAGGGCTGCTAACCCCAGAGTCATCTCTCCAGCCTGGATGTTTAATGTTGTACAAAAGATCTTTAATGTATTTGTTGATGCTCAAAAGTGAATTTGAAACAAAACCAAATTCAAGGTAAGTTGGCTGAAAGCTTGTATTAAAAAAAGATCCTAACTATTTAGATATTCATAGTGACTTAGACTTCAATTGACTATAGTCACTACAACACTCCAGCTAGGAGAAATACTAGGTATGTGGCCATGCCCAGAGAATTTCTTATACTAATGTGGTAATGTACAGTAAAGACATATGAATAAAAAGAGTCGTCCAATATGATAGTTAGCATTGAATGAATGGTTCTGACCTATACATGTGTCCTCTGTTATAGCTTGGATATGAAATGTCTCCTTAAAGGGCTCGTCTATTAATGGCTTGCTCCCCAAGGTAAACGGTTTCAGAGATGAGGTTTTGAGGGAGTTACTGAGTCACAAGATCTCTGCTTTTGTCACTGAATTAACCCCAATGATGGATTCAGTTTTATGGGTCTATTGGGAGGTGGAAGTTTCCAGAGGAGGGGCCTATTTAAAGGAAGTAGGTCACGAGGGATCTATTCTCAGGAACTATGTCTTAGGGTGGACATCTACCTCTCTGCTTCTAGGCTGCTATTAGATATTTTTCCTCCATCTGGCCTTCATCCATGATGTTTTAAATCTTGGAATAAGTCTGATAGCAATGGAGTCAGCTAACACAAACTGGCATCTATAAATAATGAGCCAAAAGAAACCCTTCCTGAAGTTGTGTAACAGTGACTATAGCCTGACTAGTATGCCTTCAACTACCTTATTGCTCTCAGTTTACAATCTTGGAATAACCCCAGAACACACGACATCCTTTCTCCAAGTCATCACAGTGTT